CTGTCTGTCTGTCTGTCTGTCTGTCTGTCTGTCTGTCTGTCTGTCTGAGAAATTGTGACTTATTGAATTTTTTCAGTTAAAAACCTTTGACTTGACTCGTGTATTTTTTTTTTCTAATTCTTATTGCTATCAAATGGCCTGAGCAACATGTCCTAAACGTATTTCAAAGATTTCTGGTGGATCGGAGAGAAAGACCCTACTATAAGGCTGGAAGTTGGAAAAATCAAGTACCTAACTCAGATTAATCAAATCAATTACTTGTATTGGTATTGTTCACATATTTGCAGAACAGAAATACTACTAAAACTAGCCTTTTTTTTGTTATGGGTATAAAACCCAATAAAATGTATTTTCATGTTAGTTTTGGTCAAAGCTTCACAGAGCCGCATGTGTCCCCAGAGCAGCAGGTTGCAGAGCAGACCCCTTTAGATGCATGAAAGTGTGGTGCACTTTGAAGCTTCTCACGTGTGCCACCATGTAGGGCTCATGTGCCTGAATGATCAGCGGTACTTACCCCAAATGTAGAAACATTCATAATAAATAATCTATAACTTGGCATGTAGCAAGTAGAGCACATGTATATGTCCTCTTCATTTGAGAGAAAGTAAGTTGTACAGTGTTACTCTGCTCCCAGATTGAATTTGGTAGCTGTTGCTTCTGGGTAAACTGTGTCACTCTTTTATTCTGATACAGCTCCCTGCTGTTCGTGGGACTAGAGGAAAGGCATTGATTTGCTATCGGCTTCTGTATCGTATCCATCGCTCTGTTTGCATGGTGAGGGGAGAGCCTCTCAGGCAACCATGAGCTGACACGAAACAGAGCCGGTCACTCTGAGCACTTTAATTATAAAGCATATCTTTTCAGTGGTAAACTGCTTGTGAGCCAGAACTGCGTGCACTCTGAGAAGTGTGCACTTTTAAATTATGGATAAATATCACATGACAACACCACACCTCATCAAGGGACTTGGTGGGTTGCATGCAATTATCTTTCCCTGCGCTTCTTCACCAAGTTCCCAGTTGGGAGGTGTAATAGGAGCGGAGCTGCAGCTTCCTCCCCTAAATGAATTCACCCTATTTTTTGTTGGAGAAATAAAAAAAACAACAACAGTGGTCTCTGAAATAACTTGTGCTTGACAAAATGCATAGAAATAATAAAAAAAATGGTGAAAAAATTAACGAAAATCACTAATTGCTTTTGATTTGTGGTTCAACAAAATTATTTTAATACTCAAACTGATGAAAATGGCATTGACAGAAGAAAGAATTGAAAATAGTTTGACCATAAGAACTTGTTAAACTCAGGCGTGTCCTGCAATCAGCATCGCAGCTGGCCCCAAACTTGTAATCATTCCATCTGCCTGTTGAAAAGAGTGAGAAGTAGTCACTGTGCTGTTTGGTCTCATGGTGTGTAACACACTGAACATGGACGACAGAAGGCTAAAGACAGAGTTGTCTAGAAAGACAATTATCGACAGTCATGTTAAAGGTAAAAACAAGAAGACCGTCTCCATCTTCAGAAGTTTAAAGTCCACAGGATTGGAAGCAACCTCCTTGAATGTGTCTGCAGGAGAAAAACTGATGACAAGGGATGCACGATATTATCGGCATGGTATCGGTATCGGTCGATATTATTAGCCATAAAGTTAAATATCGGACATCGGCTATTCCATCAAAAAAACTCGCCAATATAAAATGCTTCTGTTTTAAGCTCATTTTTAATTTAAGAAACTGTTAAGTACTGTATATCTATTAATGCGCTACTACTTATGCACTTTTTACTTGTCACTTGCGAACAGGTTGAGTTTAGTTTTGTGAAAATTTACAAATTTGCACTGTTCGAGTGTTGTCATTGTGTTAGAGAGAGTAAATGTCATGAATAAAGTTGACATTAAACATAATCCAAGTTGAAGTGTTGCATCATTTTCAGCATCTGAATGTGGTAGCAGCCAAACTGACAAAGACCATGCAGAATAATGTAGTAGTTTAATTTCACAGCAGAGAAAGCTATGTGGTCTCTGTAAGTACATCTATGGGAAAAAAAGTATTGGTTATCGGCCAAATAAGTATTAACATATTGGTATATCTGATATCGGCCAAAAATCCAATATCGTGCATCCCTACTGATGACAAATTGAAGAGATGGACAATACAAATGATAACCAAAGAGATTAGAGGTGAACTCCAAGGTCAAGGCACACATCAGTGACATATTGTACTATTGACTGGTGTTCGAGCCAAAGTGGACTTAATGTAAGTTGACTGAGGAGGACAAACACTAATTATACATTATTTAGTTTAGTTTAGTCCATAATAATTACACTATACAGTAAGAATACACTAAAATATAATTTGCCAAAATCCATATTGACAAACCACAAAGCTTCTGGGATGATGTCTCAAAAAGATGCAGCTGTCACTTGATTGCACTGATTATTTCAAAAGGTTGTGTCAAAAAATAAAAAGTTATTTTCCATCCTGTTTGTCAGAGACAGTTTCTATTTTTTATTATTTTAAATCTTGTCGGATCAAAATTTTAAAGCGATGCTAACTTTCATTTAATGATTTTTAGTTGTATTTTTTTAATAATGACTTTTGTCAGTTTCAAGTGTTTCAGTGACCTATGTGGGTTTTTCTGTTTTAACTAAGGAGTACATGTTTAGTAAACAGCAGTAAAGTTTAGTCCATAATAATTAATATGAATAATACCCAGGTCTTTTTTGTTTTTTTTGCTTTGATCATGAACAATATGTGAAGGACGTTGTGCATCATCTTCAATATTTTTTACTTATTATTTAACCCTGCCTGCCTTGATGTCCAGGATCTTCTACGTATCTCATGACTCCCAGGACTTGAAGGTCTTCAGCTACATTGCAAGAGACGGCTCAAACAATTCTTTCAGATGTAACGTCTTCAAATCTAAAAAGAAGGTAGAGTTGGAATCGCATTCAGTCGATTAATGAGAACACATGTCCGAGTGCTTCCTGAGTTAACACATGAGAGAAATGATAGCACTCTGATCTTTATGTACACTGTTTGTCTGTTAGAAAAATATATCATAAACCACTGGGTGGATTTTGATGAAACTTAAAAAAATATAATCATTAGATTGAGAACTCATCTACCACTGACTAGATTTGAAGCCAACCCAATTCAAGATGGCCACCACAGCCAATTGCACATAAAAAAAACACACAAATTGCTATAACTTGGTCAGTTTTACATGGAATACTCATACTTTATTGAGTAATATGTATTTAGTGGAGAGAAATGCAAATATTGAACCACAAGCGTTTTTATGTTGAGTCTTCCTCCTGTCTCTGTCAGACGCAGGCCATGCGTATCGTGCGGACAGTAGGGCAGGCGTTTGAGGTGTGCCATAAGCTCAGTTTGCAGCACGCCGAGCAGGACGTTGATGGACGGGCGGACGGAGAGAGCGACAAGTCCACAGAGGAGCCCGGAAGTCGTGGTGAGCCTCACACTAACACCGAACACAAGACAGATACACGCAAGCTTAAAATTTAAATCTTATTTGTTTAAAATACCAGTTAGTGTTGGCGTACTTAGAAAGGTTGTCTGAGACTAAGAGGAAACTCGTTAGATTTGCTCGATTGTGTTAACTGTGTTAACTGTTAAATGTGTTCAGTGTGTTCAACATAATGGTACTTCCTCCAGTTATTTAACAGTCAACAATGGTGTACCACAAGGCTCAGTCTTAGGACCCACCCTTTTTACAATCTACATAGGTAATGTAGGTCAGAGCATCCTTGAGTCTTGACGCATCTTTACACTTCTATGCTGATGACACAGTTGTTTATTGTCTAGCTAAAACTGTTGCTAAGGCTTTCCAGCGTTTGTAATCTGCATTTGACAACATCCAGTCTGATTTGTTCCTCCTCAAACTTGTCTTAAATGCCGATAAAACCAAAGGGATGTTTTTTTCAAACAGGATGTCGGTCCCAGCAGTTTTTCCTCCAATTTTATCCTCAAATGGTGTCCCCATTGAGTTTATTGATTCCTATAAATAATTGGGTATTTTGGTCGACTCACATCTCTCTTTTAAACTCCACGTGGAAAACCTAGTAAAGAAACTGAAAGTTAAACTGGGTTTCTTTTTCAGAAATAGATCTTGTCTAACTCTGAATGCTAGGAAACACCTTGTAACTGTGACTTTCCTTCCCTCCATTGACTACGGTGACATTATTTACATGAACGCTCCTACAAGCACCCTGCAGATGTTGGATGATGTCTATCATGGTGCACTAAGATTTATAACTGGCTGTGATTACCATACACACCACTGCACCCTGTACTCACTGGTTAACTGGACATCGTTAACTTGACGCAGACTCTGTCACTGGTACATTTTCATCTTTAAATCACTTCTTG